AGAGGAAGGGGAAAGGGAGGAAGAAAGGAGAGGGGTGGAGAGAAGGAAAGGAGAAGGGTGGGAAGGAAAATGGAGGAGTAAAGGAAAGGATGGAGAGAGGCAGGATGGGAAGGGGAAGGGAGAAAGGAGGAGTAAGGGAAAGATGGAGAGAGCTAGGTGGGAAGGGAGAGGGAATTGGGGGGGATAAAAGAGAAGGGGCGAATATGAGGTCAAGGCGAAGGGAGGGAAGGGGGAGAAAGAATGAGGGGGAAAGAGGAGAGGAGGGAAGGGAGGGGAAAATGGGAGAGTGGGAGAGGGAAGAAGGGAGGTGGGGAGAGGTGGGAGGTGGGTCGTCGGGAGTAGGAGAAGGGGGAAGGAGAGGGGAGGTGGAGAGGGAGAGAATGGAGAGAAGTAGAAAGAGAGGGATGGAATATATGTATATATATATATATATATATATATATTATATATATATAAATATAATGTATATATATATATAATATGTATATATATATATATATATATATATATATATATATATATATATATATATATGAATAAATAACTATGGACATAGGTTCGAGTCCCGTCGGAGATGTAATTTATTTATTCATCATATTGATGCGGTAGTGCAATATTCCATCATATATATATAATATATATATATATATATATATATATATTATATATATATATTATAATATATATTTATATATATACATATACATATTATGTATATATTGTATATATATATATATATATTATATTATATATATATATATATATATATAAATAATAATATATATATATATATATATATATATATATATATATATATATATATATATATATATATATATATATATATATATATATACATTGTGAGCTTCTTGTAATACTATTTCTATCGACTGACATGACAAATCATTAAAGAAATTGCCGCTGAGCGATCACTGGAGCCGCTCCTTGAGGCTCCATCGAGTCCGTGCATTCGAGCCATTATTCCCAGCTTATATTTTCCGCTTTGTTTAGCATTCACAAGCGAACAAAGCAGGAACGGAAGCATGGAAAAAATGGCGCAATTTCGAACGTCGCCAGAAAATATTATGCTTATTTTTTATGCACATTTTGTTGGGGGGAAAAAGTTGTTGTGATACCGTAACGAGAGGTGAATTTTTCAGGAAAAAGAAGCAGGTAAGAAAGAAAAAATACATATCAACCAACAAACCAAACAACCTTTATTAAAAAAGGATCCTCAAATCAAACAAAAGAAAAAAATAAGACAAAAAAACACACATACACATAAATAATTCACAAATGGATATATTCTTTTGTTTTTTTTGTTGCGTCTCTTTTTTTTTCCATAGTGTCCCCTCCTCTTCTCGAGCTTTATATAGCCAGGCTGCGACCGCCTTTGTTTCAGTCTCGTCCCGGAAAGCAGCGTGTCCCTGCGCACTCTGACGGTCTTTTGTTTTCGCAAGACTCGCTGAAGTATACGGACATGTCGCGACTCTTTTCAATTCATTTTTTTTTTTCTTTTTTCTTTTTTTTTTCCTTTTTTTTTGCGGGGTGGGGTGGCGAGAAGGTGGGGGAAAAAGTGATTATTTTCTTCATTTCTTTTCTTTTGTTTGGGGAAGAATAAGTGGCTTAATGAGGTAAAGTTTATTTATACTTTTGCTGACGATGATGAAATATAAATAGTGATAATGAAGAGAATATTTGAAAAATAGTATTAACAATTGTAATAATAGTGACACAATTGGTAATAATCATAACAATAACAATAGTAATAATGATAATAACAGTTATAGTAATGATAATGATAATAACAATAATGATAATGATAATGATAACGCTAATAATGACAGTAATAGCAAGGATCATCATTATCATTATCGTTGTCATTATCTTTATTATAATTATCATCATTTTTACCATTTTCAGGATGCTTACCATTATTACTATTACTGTCTTTGTTATTGTTGTTATTATCATTATTTTTGCTGTTGTTATAATTATCATCATCATTATCATTACTGTTATTACTTTTGTTATTACCATTATTTTTATAATTATCATTATTATTTTATTTTCATTATTGTTAGTATTATCATAATTGTCATTATCATTATCATCATGATTATCATTATTATTATTGTTATTATCAATATCTACATTATCATTAATATCACGATTGCTATGATATCGATTGTTATTATTTATCATTATCATTATCATCGTCATCATCATTATCATTATCATTTTCACTATCATTATCATCATTATTATCATCATCATTATCATTATTACTATTACTTATTATTATTGTTATTATTATCATCATTTCCATCATCATGATAATAGAATAATAATAATAATAATAATAATTATCATTATGATAATTATCATTATTGTTATCATCTTTCTATCATATTTCATTTCGATTTTAGTTTATAACTCTATTATCATCATAACGTAAATCATTGCTATTATCAGAACAAACTTGTGGAAAACTGATGATAGTAATAAAGATAATGTGAGTATTAACATTATCATTAATGTAATCATTTCATTACAGTTATTTTATGCATAACACACAGCCCCCCCTAAAAGTAATTCAACAGATTAACTCATCCAACACGCACGGCATAAATTTTTTAAATCCGGTTTGCATGTCCGAGTCTTGAAAAAAACAAAAACAAAAACAACGAAAGGAAAGAAGAAAAAAAGGAAAATGAATGACCAACAATTTTTTTTTTGTCTTTCTTATGGCGTCAATGGGTAGATCATAAAATATGTGGGTGATATGATATATAATATTCTGTTATTTTTTTTTCTGTTGTTAATGTTATTGATTAAACAGTTTTTTTTTTCTAAAAAAAGGAGTTTCCTCTCTTTATGTCCTTCTCTCTCTCTCTTATATATATATATATATATATATATATATTATATATATATATATATATATATATATATATATATTAATAATACATATATGTATGTGTGTGTATATACATATATGTTTATATATCTATTCTTATAAATTTATATGTATATGTACACCCTTCCGTCTTTTACCCATCCTTAACCAATTCCAGCCTACCCTTAAGTGCTTGAGTAAACCCCTCGCTTAACCAGATAAAAAAGACAATTGACCAAGGGAATCTCGCAGGCACAGCAGCTACAGGATTAAGTAGAAAGAATGTAGAACAGAGACAGTAGGTGAGACAACCGCGGGACAGTGGTTGTGTGCTGTAGACTTACTACATTACTACTTACTACTTGCTTTTTTTATGGCATGAGTATATAGGCAGTAGCGGTAGTTCGTAGATTCGTGTTGTTTGGTGTATCTCTGTATTCTTTTTCTCTCCTTTTATCTCTTCTGCTTGTGCTTTTATTATAATTTTTTATTTTTCTCATACTTCTCCATTTTAAACTGTTTTCCCCCTATCTTTCTCTCTGTTATTCCCATGTTTGAATATACAGGGTCTGTTATTGTTATTCTTATCAGTACGTCGGGACAGTAATATGTTATAATATTGCTTTTATTCTATCATGAATGTTGCTTGATTGTTATGAACTTGATATGCAATAACTGTGTCAGTATTTGTGTAGGGAATATTTTATCAATTTGTGATGTGGAATGAAAAACATTTTTATATCTCTGATGGTGTTAAAAAAGTAGCATCTATTTGAACAATTTGTCTTGGTTGTTTGTGCTGTGATTGTGAAGTGATAGAATCTTCTAGATGTTTTCTCGTCTCCTTCAGTACATTTCCTGTAGCAGCTTTGTCATGGTGGTGTGTCTTGAAGTAGTAAACACTGTACATTAATGGGGTTTTGGTGACAGGTAGTGGCAGGGGTATGAACTGAGAAGAAAATACCTCTTATAGAACTGGGCGTTTTATTTTTTTTTCAGATATAGAGCAAGAGATATATTCAACTTACTAATTAGGAAGGGAGAGGGTTAGATTATAGAAATAACAAGAAAAAGAAGAGAAAAAAGCAGTTTTCAATTATGAAATTTCGAGGACAAATATACCTGAGAATTGATTGTAGGATTGTCATAATCTTTAATCCTCCTTTATTTATTATCAAATGTAAAATTCAGCTTCTAAAATAATTCTGAAGTTTGAAGTTTTATCGAAATATCGAATCAATGCAAGTTCCTCTGTAAAAAAATCTTTTCACTTCATACCTCAAAAGCTACAGTTTCCATGAATTCCTCCGTATATTCGTTCACATAGACCCAACATATATGTGGGAAGGGGGGAGGAGGGAGGGGGGGAGGGAGGGTACAAAGGGAAAATGAAAAATCCTGCATGTCTAACCATAATTTTTTTTCCTTTTTGTTTGACTCATGACTTTATAAATCCTTTTCTCCCTCCTCCTCCCCTCCTCACTTCCCCATCGCTCCTTTCTTCCCCCCTTTTCCCTTTCTTCCCACTCCATACCTCCAACTCCCTTCCATCATTCCTCTCCCCCTCCATTCCCCCCTCCCCCCCCCTTCGTTCTCCTCCCTCTCCGCTTCCTCCCCCCCCTCTCTCTCTCTCCACCCCACCACCCTCTCTCTTCCCCTCCCCCACCCCTCTCTCTCTTCCCCTCCCCCACTCCCTCTCTCTCTTCCCCCCTCTCCCACCCCCTCTCTCTCTCTCCTCTTCGCCCCACGCTCTCTCTCTTCTCTGTCCTCTTCGTCCCCCTTCACCCTCCAACCCTCTCTCCCCCTTCCTCACCCCCCTTAACTCTCCCTCCACCCATCCATCCACCTCCAACCTCTCTCTCCCCCCCTCACTCCCCTAACTCTCCCTCCCCCACCCATCCACCCTCTAAAACCTCCCACCCCCATCTCTCTCTCCCTCCCTCACCCCCCTAACTCTCCCTCCCCCACCCTCCAACCCTCCACCCCCCCCCACCATCTCTCTCTCTCCTCTCCCCCCCCAACCAAGACGAGTCTCACGGTGGACTTCGACCTCCCCGACATCGTGATTACCCCGTGTCCCAGCGCCCCGTCCTCCCCGCAGGGCATCGACTACCTGACGCAGCCGGAGGAGACACTGGAGTTCACCTGGATCGACGCCCTCACGGGACTCGTCTCGATCCTCACCTTCGGCTTCGACCTCGTCAGCGACTCCCTCGCCGTCTACTACATGCACGACGACCCGGACGCCAAATATTATTTCTTCGTCACGCTCATGTTGTTGGGTTGGTGCTCTCGGGGGTTCTGTGGCTTGGGTTGGGTGTGTCCTGTGTGTGTGTGTGTGTGTGTGTGTACCTGTCTCTCTCTCTCTCTCTCGGTTATTCTCTCTTTCTCTTCTTTAGTCTCTCTCTTTCTCGCTCTCTCTGTCTGTCTGTTTGTCTGTCTGTCTGCCTGTCTCTCTCTCTCTTTCTTCAGTCTCTTTTTCTCACTCTCTGTCTCTCTCCGTCTCTCTCTGTCTCTCTCTCTCTCTCTCTTCTTCAGTCTCTGCTTTTCTCGCTCTCTGTCTCTCTCTCTCTCTCTACAGTCTCTTGCTTTCTCACTCTCTGTCTCTCTCCGTTCTGTCTGTGTTTGTCTCTTTCTTTTTTCTCAGTCTCAGTTTTCGCTTCTCTCTCTCTCCTTCTATCTATATCTCCCCCTCTCTCTCCCCTTCCCCTCTCTCTCCCTCCCCTTCCTTCTCTCTCCTTCTCCCCTCTTCGCTTAAACTCCCCCCCCTCTCTCTCTACCCCCACTCTCTCCCTACTTCCCCACTCTCCTTCCCTACTCCTCCCCCTTCTCTCCTCCTAACTCCCCGCACTCTCTCCCTCCCTCCCTCCTTGTCTCTGCTCCCATACTCCCGCCTCTCTCTCCTCCCCCGCTTCTCTCCCCCCTGCCCTGCTCTCTCCTCCCTCTCCCCCTCTCTCCCTACTCCCCCCCTCTTCTCCGCTACGCCTCTTCTCTCCCTCCTGCACCCCCTCTGCTCCCCCTCCCCCCTCTCCTCTCCCTCCCCCTCCTCTGCTCCCTACTCCCGCCATCTCTTCCCTACTCTCCCCTACTCCCCCACTCTCTCCTATCCCCCCTTCTCTCCCTACTCCCCTCTCCTTCTCCTACCCCTTCTCTCTCTCCCTCCCCTTCTCTCTCCCTCTCTCACCCCCTTCTCTCTCCTACTCCCCCACTCTCTCCCCTTCCCTCCTCTCTCTCCCCCTCTCTCTTCCCCTCCCTCTCTCTCTCCCTCCCCCCTCTCTCTTCCTACCTCCTTCTCTCTTCTCCCTCCCTTCTCTCTTCCCCCCCTGCCCTCGTCTCTCCTCCGTCTCTTCTGCTCCCCCTCCACTCCTCCCACTCTCTCCCTACTTCCCCTCCCCCTCGCCCTCACCCCTCCTCTTTCTGCTCTCCCTTCCCCCCCTGCCTTTCTCTCCCCTCTCTCTCCCTCCCTCCTTCTCTCCCCTGCCCATCCCCACCCCCCACTCTCTCCCAGACTCTCCTCTCATCGTGTATGCTTATATCTTTCCAGTTCTGAGCAACTTTCAGCTTCAACTGTTGCATGATCTAATTAACGTTTCACTTTGACATTTTTTGTGAAGTTATTAGCATAAGATTTAAATTTCCAAGTATTCTGCTCTGATGTCTAGTGACTACTTCGCTATCATCTCTTGCTAGTGCTAACAGTATACTAGTGAAAGCAAAATAGTAATAGTAAAAAAAATCCTGTAAGTTCAGAACGAGTAGCATGATGATAATAATAATAAATAGTGATGACGTAGATCGAGATGATGATAGTATTTATGATGATTGATGATGATGATGATGATGTCAGTAATGATAGTGATGATGATGATAATCATAATAATAGTAATGATATTGGTAATAATGATGATGATAATAATGATAATGATAATAATAATGATTATAAAAAATGATAATAATAATAATAATAAGGATAAATAATAATGATGATAATAATGATAATAACAATAGTAATAATAATAATGATAATATAAAGACACTGTCATAATTATAACCATACTGATAAAAAAAAGTAATAACAATATTGACAACAGAATTGATATAACAGTGACAATGAATTGCGATAAAATTAACAATGACACAACCACATCACTGAAACGAAAAAAAAAAAACAGAAAAAAAGAAAAAAAAATCGAGACGAACCGAACTACAAAAAAAAAAAAAAAAAAAAATCAAACGACTAATCCCCTCTCCCTCTCTTCCAGTCGTTCCTCTCGTCATCGCGAACGGCTTCAGCCTCTACTGGTACTGGTTCGACGAGCGAGTGTGCGAACCGGAGATGTGTTACCGTCACCCTCGGGTTCCCAACCTCGTGTGGGCGGTGAGGGTGGTGGCGCACCTGCTCCTCCAGGCGAGCGTGCTCAGGTGAGGGAGGGGGTGGGGGAGGGGGTGGGGTGGGGTGTGGGTGAGGGTGGTGGCGCACCTGCTCCTCCAGGCGAGCGTGCTCAGGTGAGGGAGGGGGTGGGGGAGGGGGTGGGGTGGGCGTGTGGGTGAGGGTGGTGGCGCACCCTGCTCCTCAGGCGAGCGTGCTCAGGTGAGGGAGG